GCCAGCCTTTCTCGGGGTTCTGTCCTAGGTCCTACACTCTTTCTACTCTATATTAATGATCTGCCTAAGGTCATCCTGCAATCTTTTGGGGAATTTCTATTCGGATGATTTCAACTGTTTATATGCGCACCTCCAAATATCTGGATGACCAGAACATGGCAGATTACCTCCCTTCTGACCTAGAGTAGTAACGTTCTACCATTATCGAGCAGATCCTGAACTTACACCTATTATGATGGATGGAGGTTCTCTCAAAGAGGCCACTACCCTGGACATCTATTGAGACTCAAGCTAACACCAAACCTCAAGTGGGTGGTATATATATATATATATATATATATATATATATATATATATATATATATATATATATATATACAGTTTATTACTGAAGATTCGGGAATAATGATCGGTTCCTTGCACCTTTCCACTAAATATCTAACCCAACTCGCTATATATCTTTACGAGAGCTAGATCATGCCCAAAATTCAGTAATGCTGTCATGTGGTGTCTGGGACTTCGAAGTCTTCACATGCATGTCTTGTTAGAGTTCAAAAATTCATAGCCTTGTGAGTGACGAATTCATTTCCACCCTCCATCTTCTTTACCCCAGACGAAACGTTGCGAGCCTCTCGCTAATCTAACGCTATTTACATGCGATGTGTTCTCACACGCTACATTCATTGGCCCCACCAACATTGACCTTTTCAACCCGGAACACTTATGACACGTCCACAAGGATGTATCATCCTTATTCCCTTTTTATTCCATTAGTAAGTAGGAAGTTCCACTGTGACATTCTTCTTTCCAAGAACTATTGTTTTTTTTTTAATTAAAAATAATTAAAGCTTAATTAATCTAATCTGAAACAAATTATTTACTTTTTGTTTAGAATATCGCAGAAATTCATTTTTAAAACGGATCTACGTGTTTATTGAAGGTGTTCCGAGGTTGACAGCTTGACTAACAGGCGGAAGTTTATCTCATTTTTTTCTGCGAGCGACACATCTGTAAAAATTACTTGAAGAATATAACGTGGGCGCCTTTTTTATATAATTTTAGGTGCTCACCGAGTTCTGCATAGGACTAATATAAATATTAAGCGTTACAAAAATTAATTTCTCGACATTTTATAAAATCAATTAAAGAGATGAGGTAACAGATGTAAAAAGAAATTTTACGAAGACTTTCTTAGAAAGAAAGATTTCTAAAATAATTTCATTCATTTGTGAATATGTGCCGAATGTTTTATCCGACACTTATTCGATTTATTCAAAAATTGCCAAATCAATGTGTTTTTCATTCCCCAAAAGACACTAAAATTTTCTATCGTAATTTTGCCCCCCCCACTGACGAAAAAAAAAATTTTTAAACAAAATTTCAAAGGTCTAAAAAGAATCAAAAATAAAAATTATATTGTTAAATATAGAGTAAGTATTTAGTGTTCATGGTTGTGAAGGACAAAAATTGTTGTGGTCATCCGAAGATTACCATTTGTATATGTGGGGTCATGAACACTATGTCATTCCTGATTGGCAGACACCGTTTAAGGGGAGGTAATTAGGTCTGCTTTAGAAAATTTCCGGGGTTGAGTAGTTGCTAGATGAAGAAAAACTATTCCGGCCAAGCGCTATCATTTAAAGACTATCTATTGTACACATTTTAAAATGTTTGAGGAGTATTCGTAATTAATTTTATTGAGGTTTGGTTTCAATATTTTGATATTAATAGCTTTGAGAATTTTTAGTTTTCGTGAAAAAGTATGGAGGTATTCTCTACAAGGATTTTTCTGAATTGCGAAGTATGTTGTGATAAGTGTTTAGAAAAATTGGAGCTCTTGTTCTGGTGATGACTTAGCCTCTTTGAAAACGTTGTTGTTGTGTGTCCAACATAGGTATTATTTGTATCGTTGGAGATGCAGTTTCCAAGAGGACATTTAAATCTATAAACGAATTTGGCTTTCTGCAATACGCAAGTGGCCGAGGAAGAGTCCTTATGAATAATTTTATTAGATATATTGAATCTAGTGTAGTATATAAAAAGTTGGGGTTTTTTTTCACTAGGGTCTGTGGTGGATGTATTAGTTTTTATTAATTTTTTAGGCTATTTTCGTCTTGTTTATAATTAACATGCATCTGGTTACGATATAAAAGTATATGTTTGGGGTTAGTTGGAGGGGTATTATGTTCTATATGTTTTGTATAGAGGTCTCTGATGGAGCATCTTATTTGTTCGTCAACGATTAGGTTGGGGAAGTTGTTATAGATGAGTGTTTGTTTTATATACTGAAGTTCGCCAATTTTTAAGGGCAATTTTTTGTCCTGTACAACCACGAACACTAAATACTTACTCTATATTTAATAATACCCTGATGATGACACTATGCTATGTCGAAAGTACTCGAAATAAATTACAATATGTGGCAACACGGTGTTTGCCTCACGCGAATAACCTTTTTTGTGCGGTTGTTTTTAACAAAAAAAGCTTATTCGCGATTATAAAAAATATCGAAAATAAGTAGACAGAATTTGCATAAATTATTTAAATATGAATATATATATATATATATATATATATATATATATATATGAGAATAAGCAAACGCTAATATAAGGACAGAGATTCACACCTGATTACCTCCCAATAGTCAAAGAGAACGAGAAATTAAATTTATTACAAATATATCGCACCTCTTTTTTTACAGCATTCCAAAACAGAATTCCTTAGCGAACCCAACAAGATTAAAATCTCAAAACGACAAGTGTTTTCGGTGTACTAATTGTAATTAATGAAAACATTGTCGTCAAAACGATTAATAAGAATAAGATTATTCGCCGGGTGTGAACCGTAGCCTTAAGCTTAGTAGTTTTTTTTTTTTTTTTGTTTTTTATTTTATTTTATTTTTTTAAGGGATGGAGATATTTCAAGACCATTATTTCGTTTCTTTCTATTAGCTAGATCTGACTTATTTCTTGTATGTAAAGAAGGATAACCTGATTAACCGGATTTCAAACCAGATTTTTTGATTTAGAAGCTGGGTCATAAATCTTACAGGTCATCTGGCCACTCCACGAAATATTTCAAAGCAAGGCAGTCGTAGCTTTTTTTATGGCATCAGTTAGAGTCGTTTATGTCTAGAATGGGCAGGAATAAAAATGGCGTCACAATGACTAACAAGTGAGATCTTTGTTTTTCAGATTGAAATGTCAAGTATATAAAATCATTTCATGTGCAAGAAACAGCAGAGAAATATATCCGTTGTTTTTTTTTTAAATTCGATCTTTTTGCAATCTATATTTTTAATTTCTGTAAATATTAAAAAAAAAACGCTAAAAGATTACGTAGCTTCATTTTAAGGTGCTTACAGTGCCTTCAGCATTCATAACTTAATTTTGTTTAGTTCTAGATCATCCTTCCGTAATTTCTGGGATGTGTGGGTGTTGTAAGGGATAGCGTCTCGGAATTAGAAGTCGGAGAAGAGCGTTCGAATTCCGTTCGAGTTTATTACTGTTGTAGCAAACCTACGGACTAAAATGGTTATTGTCCCTATTCACATAAATACAGAAGTAAATACTGTATGTGAGTCTTCAGTCGGAGATACGCAGACGATATATTGTACATATGGGGACGAGTTATTATTTTCATGGAGACATTGAGGTATTATGGTGGATGTGGTGAGAAAGGTAAGTAAGAATGTGTTATTTTGGTGTAAGGAATATTGTATGTATGATTGGGTCAGCGTTTGTGGCTAGCTAAGTTTAAAGTTAAGACAGAAGACCGACCATTTCCCCCTAACCCATTTCGGCCTTGTGCCACATATTCTGTTATTACAGAGTTAAATAAATTCAGTCGGAGATACGTCTCCAGCTAAGCTAGTCGAACTCTCTGCCTTCGGGTAGAGAGGAACTCAGACGAGGCTATGTCTGGGGTGGTATACAGCTACCCGGCCCCGTTTTTTACGGAGTGTACGGGAAAATTTTGCCCGAGCTTACGGGCTCGGTTTTGTCCGGCATTAAAAAACGGCTTTATGCTACATCCTGCCTCGCGGGGAGGTAAGGTAAATAACCTTCAGTCGGAGATTCGTTTTTTACGAGGTCTACGGGGAATTTTTACCCGAGCTTACGGGCTCGGATACCTCACGTTAAATTTGGCCTTGTGCTACATCTGACCGCGTCGGGCGGTTGACAAATATCCTTCAGTTGAGAGATTCGTCCCCAGCTGTGCTGATCAAATTCCCTGCCTCCTGGCAGAGAGGATCCCCCCAACGAGGCTGTGTAGAAGGGCAGAGTCTTGTCTCGGGAAACAGCTACCCGAAGCCGTTTTATACGGGGTCTACGGGGAAATTTTGGCCGAGCGTACAGGCTTGGTACCCCACGTTAAATTCGGTCTTGTGCCACATCTGACCGCGTAGGGAGGTTGGTAGATATCCTGCCGTTGAAGATTCATTGTGGAATTCACTTGTCTCACGTCTAGCAGATGACTACTTCTTCCACGCGCCGCTGGCGAATCTTATATGTGTTGTTCTTGTTCTAAGTATTATCGTTCATTACCAACCTTCGTTTGATTATTCTATTCAGTATTCTTCCCTATGTTACAACACTTATATTGACTTACAAACAAATTGCCACGGGAATTTTACTGACCCGTCTGCTCCCCCTCTCCAGCTATAAGTTAAATAGTAGGAGTTGTATCTGGAATAATCATTGTTACAAGAAACTGTTATTGCTATAATCACTCGCAAAAAAAATATAATTATTTATATCTGTCTATCTAGCTAACTATCTCTTCTTCTATCTATCTATCTATCTATCTATCTGGCTGGCTTGCTGGCTGGTTGTCTGGCTGTCTGTCATAAAGCATTTTCTATCTATCTATCTATCTATCTATTGTGGATTCCGGGGATGGAATGCGGCACAAATTATTAAACACGCCAGTAATTGAAATAGAAAAATATGTGGATTAAACGTAAGAATACAAAGTTGAAATGAAGATTAGTAGTCCAGGAATGCGGGTTAGTAGAAAAGTATATTTACAAGTCTCTGTAATTGAAGCTGTAATTATCTCTCTTTCTGGACTCTCGTAACTCTGTGTGAATACCCTGTGTCGACCTTTTTGTCACGCTATCTCTTCGCAGTATAAGTATCCTTTGAAGAGTCCATCTTCTGTACGAGGGGCAACCCCCACAATACTATCAAATAAATATTACTGCTTATCTTAGTACCATTTGTATATAAATTAATTTGTCCATATCTATGTATCGAAATCATTCTAAAATTATAGGTTGACAAACCGTAAATAAAACTCAATCAAACGTAACTTCGAATTTGAATTGGAACACAAACCTCTAATACAACCGAATATTTGTTACCCCACCTTTTAGTATTAGGTTTGCTCATAAGTTATTTCCGTTTCTGATTTTATCATATGCTCTAATAATTAATCCTGATACTTAAGTACAAATAATTAGTACACTAACAGACAATAATCTTCAGTGCCAATATAAATCACTACAACCAGCCTAAAAATGAGAGCTCCATGGAAGAAAAATAATTTGTCTGAGATGAGGTATTATGTACATTATTTATATTATTCGGACTATTTTCCTCATCTTTGTCGCCATATTTATTACAACGTTTCGGCCGTTGTACGCTCCGGCCTTCTTCAGGTGGTTGAAATGTCGAACTGAACCATTTATTTCGCTCACTGGGGTAGACTGTTCTAGTTCCATGTGCCATGTTTAATGGATGTCAGTTATCAGTTATCTCCTGTTAATTTCCCTCTGGAAGTTCTCCACTGCCTTAACCGGGTATTGAACTCACACTCTTTGGGTCCTGTCACAGGAGGACGAATATTTTCTACGAAAATTTCTCGGACATTCAAGCCTGTAAATGTTGTTTAATACTGTTTATTATAAACAGAGCATTTACTTAAATGTTTGTATCTATAAAAAGAATGTATAAACATAAAATGTCTTTTTATATATATATATATATATATATATATATATATATATATATATATAAAACATTAGGCAGCATATGATTTACATAAAGAATAATCACACATAGAATTCATCAAAGTATTAATGCGATTATTGGCGACATCCATCGCTAGAAAACATAATATATGCATTAAAAATCCTGTTCATCCAGAACTCGCAGTTTTGATCCTTGAAGAAAAACTTGTTGTCTGATAATTTTTCAGTTTATTTGATGTTAAAATGCTAGTACTTAACGGCCTTCCATCCATCATCAGGGATGTGTTTTTTTCTTATAAAAAAAAACTTGAGACGATATATCTGTATGTCGACCGAAAGATGTTTTTGAATATCTATATTGTTGAGTTCAAGATCATAAAACGCGCAAACTTGCAAAATAAAATTTGTGGATTTTTAACATCACAAGAATTTTATTTAAATAAAATTGTGATGTTTAAATCCAATTTATTCTATTTTACAAGTGTATTAGTTTTTATGTCATGATCTAAGTATATAGTTCAAATAAGATATTCAAAAAACATAGTAGTAGTTTTTTTTATAAGATATTTTTATGTCTGCGGATTTGATTTTATAAGAAAACAAAACATTAGCCTGATGATGGATTTACATAATCAAGAATAATCACAGCATTTTTAACATCAAATAAAATGAAAACTAATAGACAACAAGTTTTTTCTTCAAGGATCAAAACTCGCATATATGCATGAAAAGGATTTTAATGCAAAACTTATGTTTTCTAGCGATGGATGTCGCCAATAATCGCATTAATACTTCTGATTAATTCTATGTGTGATTATTCTTTGTATATATATATATATATATATTGTGAAGAAATTTTGGGGGACTTACAGTAATCATATTTAGTAATTCATCGAACCCAGAATAACCTTCAATAGAATGCAGAATGCACTGGACGGCCGTTTTCTTCTATTTGGGACTCATCAGCAGTGCGTATCCACTATCGAGAATCGAACCCGGCCCATTTCGATACAACGCAAACCTCATGCCAACTGTATCAAGGTCCTCGGTGCCACAGAAGACACAAACTAGGCTCGATATAGCGCAGATACTCACTCAGTTCCGCAGCGATACTCACGTATACTGATAACCTCGGAACAAACCCCCAAGGGCCACGTCTGCTTATTGACCTTTTCGCCGCTCCTCACGAACATTAGCTGGGTCAAGGAAGGATATACAGTGAAGAAATTTTTTCTTTGTGGGGGGGGGTGATTTAGAGTACTCATATATATTAATTCATCGAGCCCAGAATAATCTTCAACAGAATGCAGAAATCACTGGTTAGTTGGGACTCATTAGCAGTGCGCATCCACTACCGAGAATTGAACCCGGACCATTTCGATAAAACCCAAAAGTTATATCATCTGAATCAGGAGCCTCAACAGCATAATTCAAGAGAAGAAAATATACTTGAGTGCACAGATAGATAAATCAAAAAGAAGGAAAGATTCATTTATGCGATTAACTGTAGTGTGTGAGTGAGATTGAAAGTGCGCCACTTGGTTGATTTGAAATTAAGTTGTCGGTTTGCTGTCTCCTCCACTAGAGGATGTTTTCTACCTACCATTTGTTATAGAATAGAAAATATAGGAAAAAAAGAGTAATTTCGTTTTATATCGCTGATGTCCACACTACCTAACGCCCTTAAGTGAAGTCCTTTGACAAACACAGTTGGATAATGTTACAGTATGTTGTACAAAACACAAGTCCTCTGTTTCTTCTAAAACACTTTTTATGTGACTATTTCCAGATAGAATTGTCTTCAAGATGTGTCAATAATGAGTAGCCCCTTTAACAGTATTAAGTGAATTTACACATAACTGACTATTTTTATGAGATAAAAATGCAAGGTTTTGCTTATTTATTTTAAAGATATCGAAAGACCTATAACAATATCGAAAGGGTAAATATTTTCCTTTCACAGTTTTCTCGATATCGAATGTTTACATTAATGTTCTTTTCTATATTAGCCAATTTTGCAGTTCTGTTATTATATGGTAAGAAGGTTCTGTGAGCGCGTGTCTCTACTGTACGGACGCTCGCTGACGGATGATAAAAAGATAAGAAGTAACAGCACTGCGAATATTCTTAGTAAAATCAGTTAATAAATCCATTTAATAAAATAATGTTAATAATGAAGAAAGAATCGACGTTCTGACGAAAAAAAATAATTATAATAACGTGAATTTATACGCGTATCAAAATTCTAGGAATAACGATGACTGTATGGACCCAGAGCAATATGTTAAGATGAGACGTCCAAAAGCGTACCTCATTGTTGGTTTTGCCGTCCTTTCAACTCATATGCAGTGGGGTTGAATAAGTGGTCGTACACATGAAAATATTTCATATTTTTATTTGTAACATATTAAATTAACAAAACGGCAATATATCTACTGTATCAGATTGTATACTAAAAATGTAAGCATATAAAACTAAATATTCCATGGTTAAGAAAATATATTAATATTTAAATTTTTAGGGGTTCAAAAAATGATCGTACAGCAGAAGAAAAACATGTTTTCTCTATTTAATATTTTGCAGCAAAGCCTTTATTAAGTTCAACAGCGACTGATCTCTTCCTGTAGTCTTTAATTAACGATTTACATACTTTAGTAGGTATTTTGTCCCATTCTTCCTGAGTAATTGTCTTCAGGTTTTTTATGTTTGTTGAACCTCTATCACGGATCTTATTTTTCAAAAACCCCCATAATTTCTCTATTGGATTCAAATCCGACGACTGACTGGGTCATTGTAAGATGTTAACGTTTTTATTAGCAAGCCAATTCTTCATACTCTTAGCAGTATGCTTGGGATCATTGTCCTGCTGGAAGATTCAATCAGGAGGAAGCCCGAGATTCTCTACAGAAATCGATAAACTTTCGCTTAGGATTTGTTGATATTTTTCAGCATACATTCTACCATCTATAATTGCTAGTTTGCCAACACCTCGCATCGAAAAGCAGCCCCAAACCATGATACTACCCCCACCAAATTTGACAGTTGGTATGGTGTTCTTGGGTGCGTATGCTTCGCCCCGTCTTTCCTCCATACATGATTCAGGGAATTGCGACCGAACAACTCAGTTTTACTCTCATCTGTCCAAAGAACTCTTTCCCAATAAGAACTTTCCTTATCTTTATGCTCTGTGGCAAATTTCAACCTGGCATCTCTATGCCGTTTCAGAAGGAGTGGTGTCTTTCTTGGGGAGCGCGACTTTATACCGTCTCTGCGTAGTTCATTACTAACCGTTTGCTTAGTTAGGTTAACTCCTGACAAACTCAGATCATTGTGAAGGTCTTTCAACTTTCTTTGTAATCTGGGAAAAATCTTCCTGGGTGCACCGGATCTGCCTTTGTTCTTAACAGTATTACGTCTTTTAAATCATGCAATAAATGAACCAATTGTTGAAAAAGGTATGTTTGTGTCATTGGAGATGTTTCTGTAACTTTTTCCATTGTTCCATAGCTTAATAATTAGTTCTTTTTGAGCACAAGTCATTTCCTTACGTCTAGCCATTATTAGAACCGTTATCAGTGAACAGTGACTGCAGAATGATCCAATTTTGAATTGAATGTTACAAAAGAGTTACTGAGAATATTCAAGAACAGTTTAGAATCTTCTACCTTGAAGTACAACCAAAATCAACTGTTTTATAATGTAAAATTTGATAATGTACGAACAGTTTTTTCCACTATTCGAAATACAAAAATTTGCATAACTATCACTTATCGATGAATTTCTAATTTTAAATTTCAGATTCCGATTCTATGCCCCAAAATACATATATAACATTGTTATTCAAGGTTTTCCTTCGCTATAAGTGAAAATAACAAGCATTTGTTTGCTATACGATCATTTATTCAACCCCACTGTATTCTTTGAAGCTTCGTTCATAGGAGTCGCTCCAGTCGTTTGATGTACCGACGATACAAAGTCCACGTCTCTTAAGCGTACAGAAGGTTGAAGGAAAACACAATCTGGAAGACTAGGATTTGTGTTCTTATGGTGATGTGACATTTCTGAAGACACGTTTCTGGCGCGTTCAGAACGCAATATGAATTGCTTTAATCCTATTGTCAAATTCTCTTTCGCAGGTGACACTATTCGAGATGATGCTGTCAAATAGCAATAAAATACAGTAGTAATGAAAAATGGCTCGACTCAGAAAGGTGGAAAAAAAGTTCAAAATCATTTGATGGACAAAAATTAATAATAAAAAAAGATGTAATAATGTGTTGCTTCAGAACCATCCAAGGCAAAACCTACATCGAGCGCATCACAAGTGAAACAGGGCTAGATATCATGAGGCAAAAGATGGCCGTTTGGAAAGCCTCATTTCTAACCACGTCAAGCAAAAGACGTACATTCTTTCACCGCTGATCAGACCCCGAACGTCTGCCAGTCACGATAAACGGATGTCCCCTAGAGGAGGGACCGTGCCTGGAAAAAATATTGAGCCTCAAACCCACACATGACCTCAAGTTGAACTCTTATATATGATCCATCGCTAAAGGTGCAGGTAAAATGATCTGGCTCCCTGTACCGCTTCAGTAAGTACCTGACTCCTCATGCTATCCTCTACCTTATCTGCTATCTTAATGAGCTAGATCAGGCCGAAAATGGTGTATTGTTGCCATATTTGATCGGGCGCTGCCCAGACCCCACTTTCCAGCCTTGACAGAGTTCAAAAACCCTCTCCGAGTCCTTGTGGGAGAAGAATTATTTTCCACCCTTCAACCTCTCTCTCTCTCTCTCTCTCTCTCTCTCTCTCACGGGCGGCATGTGGCGAGCCTCTCACTGCTCTATCGCTACTACTTTGAAAAGTGAATGGACGAACTGCATCTCCTGGTTGCACCAGATCTTCGCCTTCACGGCTAGGAACGGCCATGACACTTACATAGTAACAAACCACCAACATTCCTTCCGTATTCGATCGGCGACAAGTAAATTCAACTCAAACAGCTTCTTACCGCCAACTGCTCTATAGAACGGACTCGCTAGAGGAGGTTTTCCCGTTCACTACAACTGTAACCTGTTTAAGTCTAGAGTTAACCGTTATCTATCTCTCCTATCCATATAAACTACCCCTTATCTACCACCAGTGAACTCAGGGCCTTGTAGAGAGTGAACCATACTGTAAAAAAAAAACAAGCTAGCATAGAAAAAGAAATTGACTGGAAATTCCTTCACAGAGACTTCGACATTGGCACGCAACCAATATATAAGGAGGCAGTTATGGGACGACGATTATTATTATGATGAATAATGAAGAATAAAAAGTTAGAAAGAAGTGTGTTGACCCAGAGAGTTGAGATACAAACAAACAATAATTAATGGAAGAAAATTAACGATTACAAACTGTAATAATGTAAAATGTATTGATCCATACTTGGGAGATAAAAAGCAAAAATAAGATCGTTTAAAACTGGTAGTTAACTTATAATACTAATTATTATTAAACCAAACTCTTTGTATTAAAAAAAAATTTTTAAAATCGTATAAAACTGGTAGTTAACTAATAATACTAATGTTTATTAACCCAAACTCCTTGTATTAAAAAAATAAGAAAAATAAAAAAAATCGTTTAAAACTGGTGGTTAACTAATAATACTAATTATTATTAACCCAAACTCTTTGTATTAACAAAAATGTGATGGATTAAAACTAGACTTAAACTAGATTTAAAGAAGACAAGATATAAAGGATTAAGTGTCATGTCGCCTTTCGGATGTAGACGATCATGGCTCTTCAGAATTTACTGTTCAATGTAAGCAACTTCTTTCTTCTTCAGTCAGTTATGTGACATGCGTGATACACGCTTAGCCGATACATAACTGACGAGGCAGATTTCTTCCCGCAGCAGGTTGCCGTTTCTTTCTGCGGTGGACCAGTTGCCATCCAAGGCTATAAAACCCGGTCTCTCTTGCTATTTACTCATCGCTGGTGGGGAGAAGAAGAGGATTCATACCTTTCCCAAGGGTATTAGCACGTAAATGAATGTAATAGATTCGACTAGAATTCGAACTCGGCTCTCCTATCCATTACTCCACCGTGCCCTCTAAATACTATTGAAACATTAATAATTACCAATGCGTTCCCCACCCAAAATTTAAAGTTTCACATTTTCTTCTTTTAAGTACCGTATCACTTAAGCAAGTCAACGATCATGTCTCTTAAAAATTTCACTTCATTTTACCGCTAAACCATGTTTGACTCTTCACCATTGTTTTATGTCCGCATCTACCATTTATTTAAAAAACTCATTCTTTAAATAACTCGATGCTAATTTCTGTCACTTCTACTTTCATTATGCCTTCTTATAATTTCCAAGTCCAATTCCTTGAGTAGGTGTTCCAGAAATCTCAACTGTCGCTTTCTGATTTTTAAGTGTAAGTGTCATTCTTGTTTATATATAAAATAAAGGCCTTAAGTATAAGTATTCCTATAGTTTTCTTCTATGATCTACTATACAGCGCTGAGACGTGTTCTCTTAGCAAGTCCTTCCTCCCTCCGTGTTCCTGGCTTCGATTCCTTCGTCCTCCGGACCATTCAGGAATGTACAAGTCATATCTTGTGTCAAATGAAGAGCTCCGCTGGAGGCATCGTTCAGCCCGATGTTTACGGGCCTCGTCACGTCCTGTGATGACCTTATGAACACACTACTAGAGTCATCTACCAGTTCAACACGCTATCTGCAAACTTCGCCTTAGACCATGCAGCCGCTGGAAGGACGTCCTCCGCTGGAAGGACGTCCTCCGCCAGAACATCCAGAAGATTAAGCCAATTTCTGAAGGACATTCTGCCATAAAGATTTAGCAGCGGCCGCACTCTCTCTAGTTTTCATTTTCTTTCAAACGTCCTCGTTGCTCACATGTTCACTCCTTGTTATTTTCAACATCCGCCAGAAGAACATCTTTTCTACGGTTTCGAGTCTTGCCTTCATCAGTGAGTAAATTATCAAACATTTGCTGTCATTTATAAAAGATAAGAAATAGCAACTCAGCACTCTTTGTTATTAACGAAAATGTCCTATCTCTTAATATATGGTTCAGTTTTTGTAAAGCATTTTTCTCTATTGCTATGCGACTTAATGTTTTTGTTTCACATTTTCCTCCCACTTCTAAAACAATTCCTAGAAAGTATGATATGGGATAATCATAATTAATTCATTGAGCCTAGAAGAAACCTCTGGACGGCCGTTTCCTCCTATATTTGGGATTCAGCAGCAGTGCGCATCCACTACCAATAATCGAACAATGACCGTTACGAGACGACGCAAGCGTCATAGCAGTTGTCCTAACGAGTCTCGTTGACGAAAAGGTAACGAATTAGACTCGGTACAGCGCCGCTCTTCACAAATTCCGTGGTATAACTTTACCGAGTTTCTCTTACTCATATGAGTGTGCCACCACAAGACACGACTAATATCCCCAAGCCGCTTAACCAATAATAGATTCGACTGGAATTCGAACTCGGCTCGCCGATTCCTCAGTCCGAGCCCCTATCCATTACTACTTACTACCTATTTTTGCTGCGAATATGCCATCCTTTTTCCAGAACTAGTTATTCTTTGCGCCTTCCCGGGCTAAAGTTTTCCGGCTGGCAGAAAGTGGAGTGATTATATTGAATTAATTGCTAGGTCTGCTGCTAGTAAATATTGGTTCACTGTTTCGTGCTAAATAATTTTTCTCGTCCGAACCTATCTTAGATATTTATAAGTCTACCATTCGTCTCCGCCTTGAATATCTCTGCCACATTTGGCCTGATGCTTCTGCTGTATATTTAGAGATTCTTGATTAAATACAAAGAAATATCTGTAATGTTATTGGTCCTGCTCCGGCATCTCAGCTCCATTCACTTTCCCACTACTCTAACGCAAAATCCCTCTGCCATTTGTATAAATACTTTCATGATAAGTGTTCTTTCCTCTATGGTACCTCGACTGTTTTTTTATTAAGTGAATTTAAAGGAATAATGGATAGCGGCTCGGACTGAGGAATCGGAGAGCCGAGTTCGAATTCCAGTCGAATTCATTACGTGATAATACCATAGGAAAAGGTATGAATCCTCTTCTTCTCCCCTCAGCTATGGATAAATAGCAGGACAGACCGGGTTCTATAGCCTTGGATGGCAACTGGTTTACCGCAGAAAGAAATGGCAGCCTACTGCGGGAAAAAATCTGCCTCGTCAGTCATCTATCGAAAGATACATGATCGCCTAAGCGTGTCTCACGCATGGCACATAGATGACTGATTAAATTGGCGACATGGTCTCATCATTTTACAGTTGAAATAAGTTCTATATTAACAGTTTCTTCTCCTCACTTCTCGCTTCTGGAACTCTCTTCTTGCTTCTTGCTTTCCAGTCAACTTTAAATGAAATTTCAAACATTATCTTCTGTCTTCTTAATTTCTCTTCTTTTATTTCTCTCTCTCTCTCTCTCTCTCTCTCTCTCTCTCTCTCTCTCTCTCTCTCTCTCTCTCTCTCTCTCTCTCTCTCTCCTTAACAGTGGTTTTTCTCATATTCTCTAACACTCGGAACTGTTAGTGGTTTTCTTGGGATGAGAGGATTAAAAAAGAGTTTTCCCATCCTGCCTTCAATATGTCGAGTTAAATTCCCCAGGCATTCTTTTCTCGGTATTTATCCAACAAGTTTCAACTGTCTCATCCTGATTTTAAGTGTTAATCTCCTTTGATTTCCAGTTTTATTTCAAACCTCGTTGTCGCTGAAATGGCCGCTCATGAATTTAAGCAAATGAAATATTGCATTTCAAACAGAATTATTATATCTTTTAATTAAATCAGTATAACGTGATTCCATGGTTTATATTTGACTAACGAGTTTGCAATTAACTTACTACTCTCTCGACTTTGAAAGTTTTAAATTGGAAAACTAAAAATAATAGGCAAGCGTGTGAATTTCTACAGCGATTTACGGTCTCGTTTTAGTCATGGTTACAGAAAAGGTGGCTACACTAGGAGAATCCATTTTTATAAAGAGACCGGTTTTTCTTTTGCTAGCCTATTTTCATGACAAATTTTCCATTCTGGCTATGACCTTTCATATGTTATATATATATATATATATATATATATATATATATATATATATATATATATATATATATATATATATATATATATATTTTCCAACCCTAGACTGCTTCCTCCGGAATAAGATACTTTACGCCCCCACCAATCGCTAACACAAACCCACTCACATTAACAAGGCGCCTACCTGATGATGGCCGTGTACAGAACGGCTTGAAATGGACTACCCCTATGTTTAGGTCATTTTGCTTTTTGCTGTAAATAATACATATCCCCTGTTAAAATAAAAACATCGAGTTCTCTGTGAATTAATTTTAATATTACTAGGATCCGCCCGGATTACATACCAACGGATCGATTGCCTGTACTATATATATATATATATATAACTTCAGACATTTATTTTTATTACATTATACATAAAACAGCGTTTAGAATAGTAATATATATATATATATATATATATATATATATATATATATATATATATATATATATATATTACTATTCTAGTAACAATATCTGAAGTTTACTTTTCTCGCATGCCATCCGGTAGACGCTGTTAAAAAACAATGCGTCTACTTAATGACGAGTGTCCAAAAATAGCGTTTGAAGTAATAGGAATACTGCCAGACAAAAATTCATTGCTCACTTGCACATACACACACACACACACACATACCTACTCACACTCACGTCTCGTGTTAGTCATGGTTACACAAAAGTAGGCTACAGTAGGAAAATTCATTTTTTTAAAGGATCAGTTTTTTTACTAGCCTATTCTCATGACAGTTTTCCATTCTATCTATGACCTTTCATATGTCATATATATATATATATATATATATATATATATATATATATATATGGGCTCTCCTATCGTGAATGATAAATGAGTGTCAGTAGTTGATGGTGCCTTTCCTTTTACATTTATGCATGCTAGCAGGAGCTATTGTGGAGAAAATCAGGTAAGGGAAAGAGATATTTCATTTGTGCTTTCTTAAGTGCAGTACTAGCCCAGGCTTGCTGCGGGCGATAAAGCCACACTGACAGGTGAAATTTGTTGAAACAGGATTTTGATGGCGTCAGACACCAGCTTCGTTCTAAGGGTGCAGCTTTTTGTAGTCAAATGCTTGTGGCTCAAAATTAACTCTTTGGTCACCCCAGAAATAATATCTTAAGACTAGTGTAGTAGCGGGTAAATTTTATTCCGGTTGTAACCTACTGCTTTTGGCAAGTGAAACAGAGATGAAGCAAAGTGGGAGCAGCTGAACAGTCTAACGAACGTCTTTTCCCTTTCGCGTTGCTCTTTGTCACTCTCCGTGCCTTTGTCTGGGTCTCTTTGTTTTCCGATGGTAGTTACCACTGTCTCACTGATAATATTTTTCTTTGTTTTGTCATCTTTGTCTAAAAGGTAATTTATTAAGGTCTGTTATCATTCAATGACCTTTTTTGTCAGGGTCGTTTGACATAGTCTATGCAAGGTCCATTTCATTTAGCTGATAATCATCTAGACAATAAATGTCTGAAAAAATTCATGACAGCACAGATGGTTTCATTTAACAAGATACCAGTTGACACTGATATCGCTATATTTTCAGGTTAGATAATTAGATATATACTACAGGCATCAGTGGTCAGTGTTTGAACCCAATTTAATTCTGGCTTTCAGGGTATGCTTGCTCGTAATATAACACAGTAGGGTTATTACCTTTGGACTAATAAAACTAATACTGTTGCTGTTTTACTTCTTACATATATTTAATCCAAAACATTGAATTACTGCGGGTAATCAAGAATTGCTCTATCGAGTATGATATGAGATTCGATATTGTGATATTCAATTGTTCTCACTGTCTTGATATTGCAAGCTTAGTACAACATCTAACAAGTTCAACTGAGGCCAACAACTGACAACAATAACATTGCGAAAAAATAATATTGCTAGCAGATGGCAAACTGAACAATGCAATATGCAGAAGCGCCATAGTCCAAAGTACAAATAGATAGATGGGTATCTAGTCTAAAGATATGCTAGAGTATGAGCGGAAATTAAGCAGGCCTTGGTCTCAGATATTCGAAGCGTCCGATGAGTACAGATATCATTTGTCTACAAAGATTCAACTAAAATGCCCAGGATGTCTGACAACATTGGAAACATATTTATTGTTATATGGGCACATCGAGGTGGTGTAATGATTAGAAATCTTGTCTCGCTAGAACCATTACAATTGACTAGTGAGTTCGATCCTCACTGGGTACCCCATACTTTCGGCCCTGTGCTACATCTGAGCTACGCTTGAAAAATCACTAGCTTACGGCCAAACAACGATGAATACACCGGTTCTCCTTCGATGGCCGAAGTGAAGCATCGTATAGCCTGGTCAGTACTTAAGTTGAGGAACCGCTTGGGAACACATGGTACTGTAAGCAGACCCCTACTACCGGGGTAAACTACCATTTTTGGACACCTCGAGGTAGTGTAATGGTTAGCAAGCTTGTCTTGCGAGAACAATTACGGTTGACTAGTGACTTCGAGCGTTAAAATTCCATTGGTTCGGAAGAAGTTTCACTCTTGAAGCTTCTTCCCGAAACCTTTTCCATTGTGAGACAGACAGCGTAAATGATAGTACTCGATCACTACGATCTTAACCACTTCCTGTCTAGGATCAAGCATGACGGCAAATGTTTGGGAAAGTTACATTCATTTCTTCCAGGCCTTCATAGCAAGGACTCGCCACCTTTTTATTCTGAACTGTATAAGTATGCTTCTCCAATCACTTCAATTTTAGAATCAACGATATATATATATATATATATATATATATATATATATATATATATATATATATATATGAAATAGACTTTGAAGTCAACACCTAGAGGCGACAGTCTGTTTCTTTAAGCCATCTCATGAGTGTTGACACCAATGTCCACATTTGCATTTACATACGCCCAATCCTTGATATTGAGCACTTTAATCTATAAATATAGCATACACTAAAACGATATTTTATCATATATATATATATATATATATATATATATTAATTTGCAAAGGGATAGAATACAGGTTGAGCTCAATATCCAGGACAGAGCAAGAATATAATATAATAATCAGACGTAAAAATTCAAAAAGCTTTTGAATTTGTAAATCTGATGAATTGGATCGTGATTACGATCCCGATCTAATAAATTATAACCATGGAATATTAGATTTTGAGCCTTATATATATATATATATATATATATATATATATATATATATATATATATATCATATAGCTGTAGACAGAAGAAGAGTATTCTTACCTTTCCCAAGGCTAATACCACGTAAGGGAATGTAATGAATTCGACTAGAATTTCAACTCGGCTTTCCGAGCCACTATTCACTACTCCACTGTTCTTCTGCCAGTGGGTAAATAGCAGGACAGACGGAGTTCTATAGCCTTGGATGGCAACTGATCTAGGACAATGACAACTCTAAATTGAAAAACTACGGAGGGTTGTTTGGAGACCTTGTGGTACGTAGTTCAACAGGTCTCTGTATTCGGCCCTTCAAAAAGTGTGGTCGGTTCTGCACAAAGCATTCACCATTATAATCAAATCATATGTGCTTATATCTGGTCTGTCGTTTCCTAGGAACTGAGCTGCTTGACCCTCATACGTCGAATACTGCGGGAGAGTCCACAATATATATATATATATATAAATCAACTTCATTCAGCAACCCTCTAAATTGTGTTGCTCTTAGTTGAATAATAGTAAAAAAAATAAATAGGACGTTTGAATATGTTTGATATTTGGCTACGATTGCTACCACTTTTGATGTTAACCTCTTTTCATATTCAACCTGATGTGTTGTAAAGCGAGTAGCACGTATGTTGCTTCCAATTCTCTGTGCATTACGAGACCTGACGTGAACTACAAGTTTTACGTGGTAATAGCAGATTTACAAACCAGTCAATGACCAACAGAGCATTGTGACTCAGACACACTTTAGAACAAGTGGCTAACTCAACAATTCAATGCTGTGGAGCATAACGATCCTGGGTACCACGAATAGAACTTAATAAGAAAGAAATATAATATTTTCTCTACATACGAATAGGCCACTACAACTCTTAGCTGCAAACAAACAGAACAGGGTGCAAAAATGCAAACCTGAATAAATTTAGATTTTACTCTATGGATGAATTATGACGTTCACTTTGATTTAAAAAATGTTTATTAAAGTTGCTTATTTATAGCATTTACAGATTTTTGACAGGGAAATTCTATGTAAGCTATTGTATTGCTAAAAAATCCAAAAAATATGATTTTTATTAAGTTTCTTTATTTTTAAATTATTAGAGTGATGTTAAATTTACAGAGAAATATGCTTTTATTTAGTTTATTTTTTAAATTATTAGGGTGATGTTAAACTTACAGAAGAGTATGCTTTTTATTTAGTTTCTTCATTTTTAAATTATTTGGGTGATATTAAATTTACAGAAAAATATCCTTTTTATTTAGTTTATTTTTTAAAATTATTAGGGTGATGTTAAACTTACAGCAGAATATGCATTTTATTTAGTTTCTTCATTTTTAAATTATTAGGGTGACATTAAATTTACAGAAGAATATCCTTTTTATTTAGTTTCTTTATTTTTAAATTATTAGGGTGATGTTAAATTTACAGAAAAATATGATTTTATTTAGTTTATTTTTTAAATTATTAGGGTAATGTTAAACTTACAGAAAAGTATGCTTTTTATTTAGTTTCTTTATTTTTAAATTATTAGGGTGATATTAAATTTAAAGAAAAATATGCTTTTTATTTAGTTTATTTTTTTAAATTATTAGGGTGATGTTAAACTTACAGAAGAATATGCTTTTTATTTAGTTTCTTTATTTTTAAATCATTAGGGTGATGTTAAATTTAAATTAATATTTGTCATCGTATTAAATCCTACCATCATTCTTCCGTCATCAAAGTATTTTCGCTAGCTTTCTGTGACTGTTACCGATCTGAATTTGGGACGATCCCAACGCGCATCACTTTTGGAAAGTGCATGAAAACAATATCACTGTTTGACCCAAGCTTTTGAGTGAAATTAGCTTTACGGAACATTAGAGGGCGTCAATAGCTGCGCTAGCGCAAAGTCACAAGTCATCGTGAGCGAGGGTCATAGTGTGCTGGTGTTGTTCAGGTTGATGTTATCCTAGATAACACGCCCTCTCCAAAAACTGTAACTAAGGTCTGCTCAGCATAGTTGTAGTATCAACCACAGGTCGCCTCTGTAGGTGTTGAAAAAACACAAACGTTCCTGAGCGAGAGTCTGCAATAGGGATTGGATAGTTGCCGTAGTAGATAGGTATCTTCGAATACGTGTGGCCATGTATTATATCACCGTTTAGTTAAAGTGTGTATTTTATCATAAGAGAATGAGTCTGACTTGGATTTTTTCGGTATCTTGAACATTTTCGAACAACTGACCAAGTTGTATTGCATAAGAATTAAATTATTTATCTGTCAGTTTCGGGAGAATATGGAATCTACTAAGGGGCCGTTTAATTAATCCTCGTTGCAGATGCCACCTATATTTTGTATTTCGGCAACATCCGCAGAGACAACCAGTGGTTTATACCGCCGTTATGTTGAGCGAACCTTAGTTAACGGTTAACGTGCAAAGTCCTTGTAACGTTGCAGATATGTTGTGTTTTGCTTCGAGCGTATGTGACGAGGTAACGACGTTACTATAACATTCTATGATATTTACCGCGTCTCTCCATCGAGACGTGATGTGACACAAGATCGGGTTGGTTACCGTGGGGAACCAGAACGCGTACGCCCGAGGCCGAGCCCCAAATTGTCCATCCCCGAGAATAGTCGGTTACTTTGATATCAGTATGACTGCTAATCCCCGCTGCCGATCTAGTGCAATTAGTGTAGGGGCTACAATCCCGGGAAGCTGTTTCCCGGGACCGGGCACCTCTAAGGTATTTTGTTTTTCTCAGCTGCGTCTCTGTCCGTGGATAAAGACAACTGAGCCAGGTAATATGCCAGGTAAGTATACATAGTATAACGCCCACTTGGTACTAAAATGTAAGTGGCGTTATGATTCTGCTCATTTTAGATGGGAGAAGTTGCTCAGCCCCAGGGAGCCTAACCCTGCGGTAACCCCACCCTTATCGCCCTGAAAAGGTGGATCAGTATGATACTGATACCAGCGCGTCAGAGGTCGCGGGAGATGGGCAAAAATCAATTTTTGTCCTTGGACAATATGCATACGTATGTTTATAGCGCTCCCTACGTTAAAACAAACTTGTCACACATCAAGCCTTGGTGGAGGAAGGCGGGGCAAATTATACCCGACATGTGCCAGGTAAGTATACATTGCATACAACTATTGACTGAAAATTGACTGCTCATAGTGTTATAGAGTTAGTATAACATTACAAAGTGCTGTAACTTAAAAAGCCAGCACTGGTTAAATGACATAGTAATATATTATTTTTTTTCGCTAAGGTATAAAATTAGTTTGGCTTTCTTTTTTTTAAATTGGGAATCATTAATTTAGATGGAGAAAGCACATTCTAATAACTTCATAGAAATCATTCTTCATTTTATGTTAATTTAGCGTTACTAGGCAACGGATTTGCAACGTTTCAAGCTAGCGTTGTGAGCATGTTGCGAGAAGACATTTTTTGTGATGTCAATGAATACTCGTTGACACTTTCGTAATGCTCGTTGTGGTAAAGACTTTGTAATCGCAAAATACAACTATAGGAACGCCGTTGAACAATACTGGTGCCAGACGCCTTCGAATAACACACACATTAATAATACTTCGTATAGTGAATAGAATAGAGAATAGTGTAGAGAAGACAATAGCGATCCCTAAAATTATAGAGAACTGAGGAGAAATACAACGCCTGTTTGACGCCTTCGGATATCACTCGTAATAATAGTACTTGCTCGATAATATTCGCTCGAATAGTAACCACAGTATAGTCATCCGAATAGAGAAATAGTATAGTGAACAGAGTAGAGTATAGCGGTCCGTATAGTAATAGAGGATAGAATATAGATGTTGCTTTTGCTAAGGACCATGTATTCTGTGTTCATGTAAATGATGTTCAGTCTTTTCTTCTTGCTTTCAACAATGCTTTCTGTGCGAATTATTTTAGTTTCTTTTCTGTTTTTGTTATCAACACCGTGCCATCTGTATACAAGTTTTTAACATTATAGCCGCCAACAATGAATTCTGTTAGGAATTCTAATTCTCTTAAAATCGTCTCATGATATAAGGTTAATAAGTCTGTTTTGTGATGTCAACAAACACTCCTTGCCACTTTTGTAATGCCAACAAATAATCATTGTCACTTTTGTGATGCTCGTTTTAGTAGAGACTTTGTAATCGCAGATACAACTATAGTAACGCCGTT